GTGCCCCGGCGCCGGAGAGGCAGCACTGTTGGAAGCAGAGGTCCGTCGGAAAAAAAAAGGGGCATGCTGAGCGTGGCCGTGCAACAGGCGGTCGCGAGTGCGGCCCTAGCCGCCCCGCTGCGCGTGCTCGAGCTCGCAGCCCCGGCAGGCTCCAGCAGCTTGCAATTGCGCGTGTGAGCCACTCGCGCTAGGCGCACGCTCACGCAGCAGTAGGATTGTAAGCAGTTAGCCTGTCTTCTGGGACAGCAGCTTGCTTTTGCAGTCGGAAAAGGGTCCGCGAAGGAAAGGTGATTCGTTCCGCCGGTGGCAGCACCGACGCGTGGCGCCCGCCTGGGGCTCGGCCGTCCCACTCGACTTAGTGATTCAAACGAGGACCCCGCCATCGGATGCGCCTGGGTTCCTGGCTGCAATGGCTGCTGTCCCACGTCCGGCCACGCCACCTGAGTGGTATCTTGCCCGCCTGACAGCCTGGGGGTCTTGAGGCCCGGGTGGTCCATGGGGCGCTCAGCGACCGCTCCTAGAGCAAGAGCGTGCCATTTTCATGTGCTGGCCACCGCTGTTGGTCGGGCCGGCGTCGAGAACGACGACTGGTGATGTACGCTCTTCACTGTTGGAGTTCAGGATATGGATGCCGTTCTACACCCCCGCCTTTTGTAGGAAGAGTAGGGCCGGCAGTAGGGTTTTGTATGGTGATTTAGAGATAGTTAAAAACCCGTGTGTGCGCAAGCTCGCGCTAGGGCGGGCGCTGAGGAGGTTATGTAAATACTTAACTACGTCGAAGTGCATGTGGATGTCAAGCCACGGCTTTACTTTGAAGCATGAGTAATTGTTTGTGACGGGGTTATGCTGACATGAGTGAAAACCTTTGCGCACGCAAGACGGCGCAAGGGCGGGCGCGAACACTGTCCTAAAGCCTGGAGGCATGGTTCTAATTTAGAACAACATCCATATACATTCCAGGGTGTCGCGTTGTATGTTCTTCACATGTACAAGTGGAGAACCCTTGCAGGGTAACAATGTCTGTTCATGTCTGTTCCAACCTTTTGAGGTGGCGCCAAGTTGGTGCAGCGTTGGTCGCGTCGGAGCTTTGGCGCGGTGCCAAGATTAGCAGTCGCGGTCACCGTAACCTAAGTCCAGCCTTGCATTGTGTTTTTGCCAGGCTTGGATGTTGGAAGCCGCTCGCGTTAGCTGGCGCAGTGCCTGCTGAGTGCCTCAAGGCCGTGATAAAAATCCACCTGGCCGAATGGTGATCAGACCCGCGTTGAGCACGCAGCACGCGTGTTTTTGTGACCGATTCCCCGAGCTGCAGGAACTGCTTTTGCTGCCGGTGGAAATGCTGTTTTGCGACAAGGCGCGATTCGTTGCATCGTCAGATGTCATGTTCGGTGTGTCATGGTGGCATGATGTAAACGAGCCGTGGCCGTTCGGTTTCAAAGCCAAACATAAGGACTGCGAGGTTTTCGCACATTAGTCACATGTCCAAGTTGTATTGAGCACTGGTGGTTTACGCATGCTTGAATGCCATACGGTGGCGGAAGGGACCGCTGATATAATTGATGGTGGAGGGACAACGGAATTCAATGATAGTAATAGCATCTGGGATTGCCAACGGCCAGCGACCAAGTTCGAGACGAAATAGACAGTTTTTTGGAGTGTATTCATGGACGCCGCACGGCAAGATGTAACAAGAGCTGCAAGCTCCTTCAGCCCCGTGCCGAGCATTTGGAAAATGTTTGGTTCGCGAAACGTGCTGGATATTGTTGTTTTGCATTTTTGCATACTGCCAAGGCATTCCCAGCGAAGCGCTTTCGGATGCAAGCCCGGAAGCTTCAACGACGGCAGTGTCACCTAGCCTTGACGTGAAGGCCAATCCACCTTGAATGACTGTTTCGTTGGTATCCATGCCGAGATCTCAACAGGTGGTTTGGTCCAGTTATGTCAAGTTGCAAGGATGCCTTCAGCCGTTGGGTGGAACATGAAACGGTTCGATGCGCCGGAAGCTTGCCGGGCCGCCTGGTGAATCTGCAGCTACTTTCTTGGCTTACGGCAGTTCAGGCCGACCTGGGCAAGCAAGCACGGCACGTCCAGATACGTCCAGCTACCCACGTTTTTCTGTTAGATGTACAATCCGGTGTACGTTGTAGCAACCAGAGTAAGAGTAGAATAATGTAGAGTAATACTAGTTCAGTGTTCAGCTAGTGTTTCCCCCTTCCCACCCCTTACAGGCCCCCGGGCACGGTTGTTTCAGACACCGGAATATTGCTTTCCTGGGCCCTCGAACCCCAAACAAATGCAGAACAAGTATGTTGAGTGCCTTCCCACACGGCACTGGGCTATGCTCCGCCTGTAGGAACGCACAGCACGCACGTTTTCATGTAAGTTCGAATGTCGACCCAGGAATATTGCTTTTCTGCCCCTCCGAACCACAAAAAAAAACGCATAACAGACCTTGATGGCTCCCCCCCCCACACAGCACAGGGCTATGCTCCGCCGAAAGCAAATGTACTGGGAAACCGTGTTGTTTTTGACACTTCTTGGCAAAACGCACCCCTTTTCGTCTTAGTTCGCGTCTCGACCCTTGGTTCCCCCCTTCCCCCGCTCGGCACAGGGCTATGCTCCGCCGAAAGGAACACGCGACCTGTACTGGGAACCGTCTTTGTTTCGACCCACTCCGCCCTATTTCTTGGCAAAAGGCACCTTGCGGGCTGAGGGGTTCGAGGGGATGCCAGAACCGACGACCGCGAGGACGCCCGCTCATTTGTGTTCACGTTCCCCCCTCTGTAGGTATACTTATGCTTGTGTGTCTGCATGTATGTCTGAGTCGTTTTAAAAAGTGGTCGGTACTCGGACAAAAGGAAACCATGCTATCTTGCAAACGTTTTTTTGTCGAGCGCATATGGAGGACTAAACTCTTCTTTTCGTTGGTTCTTCATAGTGCTCCTTCCACGCGTTGCAAGGTACTGCTGGCACTGCCTGTATGCGTCAGAGAACGCAACCGTTGACAACAAGCGATTTCCCCCAAAAGAGTAATGCCTTACATCACCATGCCGCACACCAAGGATGTTGCATGCGTGATGCCTTTGCGCAGCGGAGCTTGTCAAAGTGTTTGCCTTGCTTTCAAAACGCAACGCAACATCTACAATATAATGTTGCAGGACATGAGCATACGGCGCGGAATAAGAGAGGACGGGGCCAGAAAAGACAGGACAGGGGGCTGATTTGAAGATGTGGGGGGAGTTGAAAAAAGGCAGGGGGTGGAGTAGCGCGTGGCTGGGGGTTGAAAAAACACATCCCCTTATCAAAACCCAGAGTTAAATAATTGCTTGTCAACATCCAGTACGTTTCTAAATTAGCCGAATCATGTAATACTCGCCTGAAGTTTGGACAGCTTGTAAATATATGTGCTCGTAATAGTAACATTGTTCGCTTGCACATTGTCGTATCTAACCACCACTCCATTACAATATACTGCACAGGCTAGTCGCAGACACCTTTAATTTTCCCTATTTAGGTAAAGTCTCAATGGAATCTACTTCTACTCCCATGAATACTTACTGAAGACATTCTTGAACTGATCAGCGGGCGTGACTGTTTTGACTGTTGTCGAATTTGGAGATCGTGTACCTCATTTAGAAAGACCTACCACTAAACACGATGATGCGAACATATCATTCACGATCGACTCTACATCATCGCATGTTACATGCAAGCCTCAACATCATCTTTGAATACTGCTGGAAGCTTAGAGGAGAAAACTAAGCAAGGTTAAACACAGATTGAGATTTAACGAAACCGACTGTAGTCACATTCTCTTGTGACTCGTACTATTGCAGAATACTCAAAACCCAATCAAAGTGGAACCTTGCGTAGGACTCTTTGTAGCCCGATGTAGGTTGTGTCATCCTTGCTCTGGGATGCTTTGGGGGTTACCTTTTCTGGTGCACATGATCTTGGTGACAATGGCGATCTTGGTCCGTGATGATTGTTGAGGCTTAACTAGGGCTAGGACCATCATGGACCGATCAACTTCGTCTAGCACAGTCTTATTGTACACCACGTCCGACCTCGCTAGTGGGCACAGATCCTCAGCCATGCGAGAGGGAAAAATCAAAGTGGAAGCATACCGTAACGACACATGAGCGCGATTTTAGCAACAATAATTGCCCAACGAGTACAGTAAGCGGTTGGGGTTTTATACCGCCAAGCGGTTCCTACAACACGGACTTAATATATTCAGTACTGTGGCAAGAGGCAGAAGGAGTTAGCACAGTACAATGGTAAGAGACATCAAAAAGACAAACACCACACTGCAACCAGAAACCGAGGCGCACCCACAGAAACCTAAAACGCTCAAGAAAGATGTGCCGCGACGTGGACGGAGTAAACGAGGTGTGTGTCTGTGTGTGCGTGTGTGTGTGTGTGTGTGCGTGCAAAAAACCGTCAATTTCTGTAAGCAATGGAATTGCCACAGCGCCCTGGAGATTGTTGTCGAGAATGTTGTCAGCAACCAGAAGCATTCAAAACATAAATACTACATTGCCCTACGTGGCGCGAGAGAAGTTCCGGCCATAAATTTGATGTTGTTCTTGGCCGGCCAGTCCGATCACGCCGCCACTCAGTGGAGGTGCTCAAGCACCGTCAACCACAATCCAACCGGAGACTCACAAGGCAGGCGCAGAAACACGAGTTGACGATGTGCTTGCAGTGAACCTCCAACCCTCCACCCCAGTTCCTGTTATAGTGCCCAGGCTCCCCAGGCAAATGCCATCGTGTGCCCGGTTTGAAGGAGAGGAGCGAGGCATCTCCAACGCTTGCCACGCGACGTGGTGGCAATGCCACCACTTTGCCGAGATCTGATCCGCGTCTTGTCTTCGGTTCCGCATATTGGAACACAACCTCAGATTTGAAAGGATTCTGTCATGGAAGCAAGGGCCTCTGACAACACGTTTCATGTCGAGTCAGTTGAGGTGCATTTGTCGGAGACCAAAGCGGCGTGGGTGTCACAGCTTCTGGCCTGCGCCTGCGGGTGAACCACGTGCGTGTTCAGGAAATCTGCATGACAAGTGCCCCTGTCTACGTTCGGAATGATAGAACCTCCCCGTGGAGAGAGTGAGGGGATGAGTGAATGAGGGAGTGAGTGAGAATGCACGAGCTTTTGACTGAGAGAGAGAGACAGAGGGAGGGAGGCATTTAAAGATAGCATGCGCTTGGTGCTTCGCGTGTAGGTCGCAGTGTCTCTCTATTTCTCTATCTCTTGTCACATCAGATGCCGATCTACTTGCCTGTCTCTCCACCGCAGGCTGAAACACACGCATACATACATGTATATATATATATACATATATCTATATTTACACACACACACACACACATATATATATATATATACATATATGATTATATATATATGTGTGTGTGTATATGATGCCCCGTAATGGGAGTGGACAACCTCGATGGTAATGCAGAGTGGCCTTATGTAGACACTAGGACTGGCAGCCGGGTTTGCCAGTCGCCGACCTGGAGCCGGATGACATTTACCTTGGGTGGATCAAACTGACTGGTTCGGCACCTGGAACCTGAGTGGATTGACGGGGTCTGGCTTGAGGTGGTATGGCGACCACTTTGTGCTACCAGTAGATGCTTCCTGTCTATACTGTGGGGGCAGCCCTCAACGACAACAATGGCAGCAACCTCACACTGTGGTGCTTTGTTACCCAGAGGCGAGACACAACAGCAATGAGCGTGGTACTCGCTGGACGTGATGCCCCGCCGAATGCCACAGTCAGCTGGACAGAAAGACATGCGTCTTCTTGGATGCAGCGGGATGGATGCCCACCCTGCCTTCCTAACCTTGCCGCCTTACCGGTTGCACGCCAGGGATGGGCGGGACCCAGAGGTCTGTGCCGAGAGACTTTCATGGAATTGGTTGACCGCCTGAGATGCACCCTCGCTGGATGTGGGAAGCCCTGCACCCGCTGGATGTGCTGCCCTGCCGAATGCCGCGAGCTCGTTGGCTGGAAGACATGTGCCTTTTGGGATGCAACAGGATAGATGAGGCTCTGCCTTCCTGGCCTTACTGCCTTATCAGTTGCATGCCTGGGCTGGGCAGAAGCACGAGGTCTGTGCTTTGAGACTTTGACGCTGCCCCTTTCGCACGTTGGGAACTAGCTGGCTGCCTGAGCTACACCCCCGCTGGATGTGGGAGACGAGACTGAGGGGCCTCAGCCGTGACCTCTCGGCGACCGTGTGTCGGTGGGTACGCTGTGAATAGCTAGGTTGATGTCCTGTAGGCGACTGCTGCTTTTCTTGAGGATGCTCGGAGGTTGTTAGTTGCTCGAAAGCTGTACTGTATGCTGGTGAAACCTGCTAGCATGGCCGTTTTGTGATCGAAAGGATCCAGGTGGCTGGGATCTCAATGGTCGGCAGTTGCCAATGCTGTATTCTGGTTCCCCTACACCTCGCCTGATTCGTCGAGCGCGAGTGCTAAAAATGTATGTATGTATGTATGTATGTATGCGCATTTTTTATTTATATTCAAGGGTATCTTTGTTTTTTTTACTACTCCCGTATGCCCTGGTCGCTGC